GGGGCTGGGGTTAGACGGGGGGGGGCAGAAGGCTCTTCCTTGCTGTTGACCTCACATCCTGATGTGCAAAGGGGGGGAACCGGGGGGGACGGTGCTGGACCGACTGGTGGGGCCGGAAGGCTCTGGTGACCCCAACCCTCATCCCGGGACTGGGTCACCCGGGGTCCACAGTGCTTCCCTGGGACCAAAGGAAGAGCCGGGGAGGGGAGGAGTCTCAGGCGGGGCTGGGTTCTCACAACGGCGCCCGCACTGGCGCCACCTGACCTGGGTCGGACGAGCGCAGCGCACCGCGACCTAGAGCGAACGGCGCCCGCGGGGGACTGGAGGCAACTGGGCCCCCCGGAGGGATAGCAGCGTCGCCCCTCTCGCCCTCCCGCCTCTCCCGGTCCCGGGAAGTACGAAAAGAGGGGGGGGCAGGAGGGGCGCCCCGGTCCCGGGGAGAAGGGCCCGCGAGAGCGCGCAGCTCGGAGACTCACGGCGGCGACTTCGCGGTCCGTCATGCCGCCGACCGCGTCCCCGGGGAAGTGGATGACCACGGGGCCCTTCCCTTCCCGGGGGGCGGCCCGGGCGCAGGGCGGCGGCGGCAGGAGCGCCAGGAGGAGGAGCAGGAGGGCCGGGCCGGGGGCGCCCATGGCTGCGGAGGCGAGGCGGGCCAGGGTCTCTCCTTCTCTGCTCTCCGCTTCTGCGAGGGGCGCGCAGCTCAGCCGGGCACCGCTGTCTGCAGCCCGACTGCCGGCGGGGCCCTTTATGTCCGCGGGGGGAGGGAAGGGGGGGGAGGCTGAGTCAGCCGCGGTCCCTCCCCCGGGAGCAGAGGGGGAGAACCGGCGGGGCGCTGCCGCTTCCTGGACTTGTCTCAACAGGAAATGTGAAACGCAGCCGGGACCCGCCGCCGGTTCGACGGGGCTCGGACGTCGCTGCAGCCAGGAGTCAGCACCGGCGGCGCCTCTGGCTCATCCCCCCCCCCGCTCCCTCTGGGCCTTGGCGAAGCGGCATGGGTGCCACCAGAGCCCCTTCAGGCGCTGCCCCACTGGCCACTCCCAGCCTCTGATGGGGCAGGACGGGATGGAGCTTGGGGAGGGCTAGGAGAGGGGTCGCCGTGGACTGCTAGCCAGACCAGGGGGGGCTGCCTGCCCGAGCCTCTGTGAGCCAGGCTTCCATCCCAGGGCATTCTGGGCATTCTCCTGGCACAGGGCCCCTTCTTTGTCTGGCCCCGCTCCAAGGAGAGGCCAGGCCCTGGGGGAGCACTCAGGGGCAGCCCCTGCTCTGCCTTCGGGGACACTGAGGAGACTGGGACACTCCCAGGGCCCTTTCCTTTCCCTCTGGCTTCCCTCCGTGAGGGGGGGGTTGCCCCTCTCCTGGATGAAGGGCCTGGCACCTGAGGCAGCCAGCTGGCCTCTGAGGAGGACCCTGAGACCCCGAGTTATCGGGCATCCTGGCTGGATTGGGACTGCTGTGGTTTAGCCCTGCATCCTGGCCTCCCAGAGAGAGGGCAGGGCAGGATGGGGCGGGGGGCCGTTAGCCTCTTCACAAACCTGCCCCCTGGCTTTGCACAAGCCTGCTGGCTGAGGCCTCTGTGTCCCTTTTGGAAAGCCTGTGAATGTGGCACTCGGGGTGGGGGGGGGAGGGAGAGAGGAGGGGGGGAGCCCCTGTGGTTTCATCATGCTGAGCTGGAGCCGCTGAGCACAGCACGGTCTGTCCAGCCCGCCAGGGAGGAAGCACTCATGCCGCAATCTCTGCTGACAGCAGCCCCCACTCAGCCCTCCTGCAAGGCCAGCACTCCTCCCCTCCTCTCCAGAAGGGGACAAAGACCCCCACACACACAGAAACACACTTTGGGCATGCTCAGGGGGCCTTGGCACGGGAAGTGAAAAGACCTCCGTGTGGCTCTCTTTCCTGTGTAGAAATGCTTTGTAAAAGAGAGCACATTAGGGAGGGCAACATCACACACACACACACACACACACACCAAAAAAACAATCAGATTGTCTGCCTGGGGAAGCATATTCTGCAGCTCCTGAGCCCCTCTGGGGATCATCCTGTGACTCAGAA